CCCCCTCCCCCACGTAGGAGAAAGAAACAACAAATAACAAATTTTCATCTCTCACTATTCGCTAACCAGTAAATCCTCACTAACACAACTAAACAATAAATAGGGTATAATGCACGTGACTGTATCAGTGGACTCCTAAATATTTTTTATGATTGGATCATTGAACCATGTGAAAGCTTTCTACTTTTTTATTATTCCTTTTGTGTCCTTGTTTCATCTAATCTCATCTCGGAAGTATCCCATAGGAATTCATCAAATCCATGTTCCATCCAACAACATGCATCTTCACATCAATGGCTCATTAAGGGGCGTTTTATAATATGAATGAAAAATTGGTGAGTGTGGACTGGTCCACACCATATCTTGTGGTAGAAACTTATAATTATGAATAGATTGTGTGGACAGAAATATTCCACATTCACAGTGGTGTTTTATAGGTATGGTGTGAAGTGGTCCACACCATACTTTTTTGTTCTATATTTCTCATATATAGTTGATCACAAATGTCTAATTTTTGCATTTTATATCGTAAATAAATTGAAAAGATGCATCAATAAAATAATATGTAGGCAACAATTGCATTTTTAAATCATTAAAAAAATATTAATTAAAATATTTAAAAAATAAAAAAAAATATTTTTTAAATATTAATTTAAATAATGAAAAAAGAGTGGAGAAGGAAAACCATTGGACTTGTACTAGATTTAACATTAAAAATTATTATTTTATTGATAAAATATTAAAAATTTAAAAATTATTAAAAAATTAAATAAAATTAGAGTAATTGAACCAATATAACACAGGTGCATTACACTGAAACTTTCCCACAAACTGACCATCCATGAGAAAATATTGTAGACAATAAATTGGGATATGACTCATCCATGTCCATACTATTTTAAGGATGGGGACCATCTACACATAGCAAAGAGTCCAGATCTCCTGCCCACACAAACTTTGCCCACATTTATCTCAACCACACATGGAGAACATCTCAACCTCTGCATAGTATTTTATGTAGGGGGAGATGTTCCCAATTCACGGGGGATAGTGTGTTGTGAGTAGACGTGGACATAATTCTCATGAATAGGAGATCTTAAGTCCATAGTAAAACATCATATCTTACTGTGGATATAATCAAAACGATCATATCCACGATATTTACACATTACCAAACGCCACCTTAATTATAAGGTCTATCATATCATATGGCTCCATTCCATATATTTGTATGGCATAGGAGATGAGCATATATACACTGATCACGTCCTGAGTCCTCGTCCAACCTCAACCCCATTTTTTTTCTATAATATTTTAATGGTTTATTCAATTCAAATCCACCTCCTTCGTAAATTATAGAGACGTTTCTTTTTTTTTTTTCCAGTCAAATCTATCCAATTTTTGGTTCTCAGAAAAGAAAATGATGGGAGAAGTTGAAGTATCTTTTCTTTTTCTTTTTCTCTTTTTTCTATGTGTACCAATGAGTGAGTGAGCGAGTGGGGGGGAGGGGGAGGTTTACAGGTTGGAACTTCTGCTTATTGCACTGCTCGATGCATGGAAGTCCTCATTTTTCATGATTAATGTGAGCTATTGGGCTGAAGCACAGCAGAATCCAATCTCTCGTAAAGCTTAAAAGTTGGATGCCAAATATTTCCAACACCTGCAGTGGTATAATTATTGATTCGTCTCAATAATTTTACCCTCTGAATCTGGAACGGGATAGAATTTATTATAATTGTTACATGTTAGTGTCGTAATTTATTATAAGTTTGTTCATCAGTTTCATTCTAATAATTAATGAATATTAAATTTAATGCTACATGTCCTTTATAAGGTGGAATAGTTTAGTGAGCTTCACTAGATATTCAAATTAAATTAATAATAAATCCTGCCGTCTATTTATAAAATGAATGTTAAATGGTGAAAAGTAACTCGTTGGCTACTGGTTAGCATATATGATTACATGAGCATGGCTTATGGCTACTGGTTAGCATATATGAGAGAGAGAGAGAGGTAATAGTTGAATGTGTTGATCCAGATGCACAGATGCACCGGCACGCGTAGTAGTAGTAGTAGATTAGTAGAGTGGGCACAGGCAAGCGTTGACAAGAGAGAAATGGAAAGTTTTACTCCTCATTCACACATCTGTATGCTGTAATGTAATCATTTTCCTTTTAGATCTTCAAATTAATATTAATTTAAGACTCCTCTACTCTACATGACTACAAGTCTACAATGCCTGAAACTGAAAGGAAGCCATTACTGACCATGAGTGATCGACCGATAAACTCATTAATGGGATTATTCGCTAGCTTATTGAAAGTTGAAACAACACTTAAATTAGGACTAGCGATCCCCCCCCCC